AAATAAATTTTATTTATGTAAACTAAAATTAAATTTTAATTAAATTTTGATTATATTTTGATTATTATTATTATTTGGTTGAATTTATATGTAAATATTAAATTAATTTATATTTTATCCTTTTTTTGTAAGAAATGCTGCTCCATAAATATAAAATTTTTAATTGAAGTAATTTTTCATTTTTTATTATGCTATTTAATTATATTTTTTATTTTTCTTATTATTCTTATTTTTTAAATTATGTTTTAATCATTAGTTTTAGTAAATAGATTCAATAATTTTTCATTTTTATTGTAAAATTTTAATATTATATTTACCTTTTTTTAATATTAAGAATTATAAATTAAGTAATATTTGATGGTAAATAGATTGAATTAAATAAAAAAGATATATTAATTTCAGTATTATTCAAGAAATAGTATTATTTTTTTGGAAAATTCTTGTACCGATATTATCTTAATTTGTCAATAAATAACAATAATTTTTTTATTATACCTTTCCCAACTCTATGTACGTTGATAAAGTAGTAGTGGTATTGCACTATTTTTTTTTTGGCAGTGGGTAAACAATGCCGATTATAATTTTGTCGGTGAATTAACTTGAAATAATATTAAATATATACGTTACAAACATTTGTCTTGTTGGTAAATTTATCGACGTGAACAATCCTCCGATTGTACTTTTCCGATTTAATGGCTTGAGACATACTCTTTGTCAATAATTTTTAGCATTTTACCGATGTGAATTTAAATCACGTCTGTGAATGAATTATCGAGAGGACTTACACCGACAAACATTTTATCGACGAGTTTCAAGTTGAAAAGGGTTTTTGCCGACATAATTCCATTAATTTCCGATGTAGATTTTTGTCGATAATTTCATGCATTCTAGTAGTGCATGTTGTTGAAAATAGAGTGCTACAATATGTAGGAAGGTATCAACAACAAGGGATATGCTGTTAAAAAGGGTGCCACATTTTTTATAGCTAACTCCAGTGAGTATTTTTAGCAACATGAGCCATGTCGGTGAAACCATACTTTCAGCAACAAGGAGTATGTTGCTGAAAAGGGTACGAAATTTTGGTAATCGGTTTTGGTGACCTTTTTAGCAACATGAGCTACGTCGATGAAACTTCATCTTTAGCAACAAAGGGTATGTTGCTGAAAAGGATGTCATGAATTTACAACAAGCTTCACATTGCTGATGTATTACCAACCAAGGCTTCTCCAACAAAGACATCAACAACAAGAATCATGTTGTTGAAGTACTTTCAGCAACATGGAAGCACTTTCACTGACGTGCTCCCATGTTGCTGAAAAATAGATTTTTAGTAGTGAAAAAAACTGGAGGTGGTTATATATGTAGACACACACACTTACTTGATAGCTGCTTTGATGTACTCAAGAGTTGCCTCCACCTCAAGCCTGACAGTGAGAACAACAATTGATCGATCCCTAGTTGGACCATGGGTGACCGTTCCAGTCAATTTATCACAAAGGTAGGCAAGAACTTTTCCAACAGCCTGCGTAATCATGATATGATTAGATGAGAATTTGCCAAGGTTATATAGGATAAAATAACGATAAAGGGCAGTGCTCCAGGGCATCATAAATTCATTCAAGATTTCGCCCGAGCTACTAAATGATGATGCAAAAATCTAGTCCAAAATCAAACACCCAATTATTGCAAAAAGAAAGAAATATCTAGTCCATTGAGCATACCTCGACATCAGCAGGAATACTGCCAGGGGAAGACGTCCCGTGTGGTCCATCAATAGTGTCCATCGCGGCTGAATTGAACAAAATGAGTTATGAGTAAGAGTAACCATATACTATGGTTAACGAAACCCTTAGACCATTGAAAACAAAATTGATCAGCCAAAATTACAAACAACTTACCAGGGTTTGAGAGTAATTTCATTAATGTGGTCTTAAGACCATCATCAATTCCGAGCATGTCACCTACATTCAGGAAAAGTTCTTCAGCAGCCTGCGTGATCACAAAGCATAATAATAAGATTAGATGAGAATTAGTTAAAGGTTCTATACAAAAAAATAATATTGAACAGCAGTAGCCCTGGTTATCATCAATACATTCAAGATTTCACCCTGAGCTACCAAGTAGATTTATGACACCAAGATCAAACATCCAATTTGCTAAAAAGACAAGACTATCCATTCCACTTAGCATACTTTGACGGCAGCTATGACGTCAGAGGTGGTTTGGAGTGCAGGCATAAGATCCCTAAAAAATCCTAAACTGTTATGGAGAAACTGTAAAACTTTTACAGCAGCCTGCATGATCCAAAAGCATAATGATTAGATTAGATAAGAATTAGTTAAGGTTCTATACAAAAGAATAATCATAAAGAACAACAGTACTCGAGGGCATCATTCATGCATTCAAGATTTCACTGGAGACCTAATAAATGGATTTTTGACACCAAAATCAAACATTCAATTATTGCAAAAATAAAGAGATATCCACTCCATGCACTAAGCATACCCCGGTAGCACCGATGGCTTGATGGAAGAAAGCAAGTCTTCTATCCCTGCTGTCCGTCATAATCGGTCCGTCATCATCCTGTGTGGCTGACCAGAACAAAATGAGATGAGTAATTGTATACTATAATTAATGAAACCCATTTTCGTCCATTGAAAACAAATTGAATAGCCACAAACGCAAACAACTAACCAATGGCTGAGTCGAGAATCTTCATATCACCTTCAAGAATTCCAAACCAGAAATGAAAAACCTGAAAAAGTTCACCGGCAAACAAAAGCCAAAAAATTCACTCTAGTGATGATTCCACAAATGTTATTTAAACACAAAAGGCAGCAAGGTAAACCTCAAGAATGGGAGCAAGCTGATGGGTGATGAAGCTGGCACTGGAAACAATGTCATCCTGATCTGGCTTGTAGTCCATCTCATTCACACCAAAAACAAACATGGGTACATCCTTGCTGATATCAGTGATGATGACCTTCTTTGCACCACCCTGAAATAAACAAGAAGAATCTAGTCAGTCCTAGATGCAAAAATCACTTGTCAGAAAAAAAAAAAACAATAATAATAATAAATAACGTGTGGGACGGGAGGAGTAATACTGAACAAGGTTCAGTTTTAAAGGGAATCACATAATAATCAAAATTACCAAATAAACCACATCAAATTATGAACGGGAAACAAGATAAAACAAATCCAAAATAAGAAACTATTTTTAAGAACGGGAAACAACCTTCAAGTGGGCAGCAGCCTCGTCCTTCACAGTCAAACCAGTCGACTCAATAACATATTCAACTCCCATCGCAGCCCATGGAATCTCCGCTGGGTTACTTTAAAGAAATATAATAATAAGAAGAAGAAGAAAAAATTGGCAGTAACTGCCCAGTTAGACTGGCAATATGCACCCAAAAAAGAAACTTTAATCCATGCTAAGATTTAGAGCCCTTATAGGTCTTTGTACTAAAGTTGTAATATTTTTCCTTTTCTCCTAAAATTTTTCTTGTTTAAATAATAATAAAAAAAAAATTAAAAAGCTTTAAAAACCCCGAAAACAAAATACTCAGATTAAACCTTATATATATATATATTAAAGTAAAAACCATTCAAGATAAGTATGTTATATATCATTTTTACAAACCTTTCTTAATATACTTTTTTGTTGTCACATATCAATACTTTCCTTGTGTGGTAAATTTATCATTTTACTTTAGTTTTTTCTCTCCTTATTAATTAATTTCAACCTAAC